CAAGGATGGCAGCCTGTACTTCTTGCTGCTGAAGGACCGCAAGACCCGTTACGTGTGGGTGAAGCCGGTCGCCAAGAAGTCAGATGCCGTGCAAGCGTTCGTGCAGTGGCTGGCGGTGGCTGAGCGGCAGACGAAGAAGTCGGTGTTGATGCTGCGCTCAGACCGGGGAGGGGAGTTCCTCGGGAAGCAGTTCACCGACTTCATGAACGGCAAGGGGATCGTCCATGACCTGACCTGCCCATACACCCCGCAGCAGAATGGCATGGCGGAACGGGAGATGAGGACGGTGGTGGAGTCGGTGTGGACAATGCTGCTGCACATGGGCGTGTAGCACCACTGGTGGCACCTCGCTCTCCGGCAGGCCGTCTGGGTCCGCAACTGCCTTGAGAGGTCGGCGCTGCCGCCGGGGACGACGCCGTACCAACTGCTGACCGGGAAGAAGCCCGACTTGTCGCTGGCGCGGGTGTGGGGCTGCATGGCGCAGTTCTTAGTCACCGAGCAGCAGCGTGGTGGGAAGCTGCAGCCGAAGGCCAGGTGGGGCCTGCACCTTGGCGTGTCGGCGGCGAGCAAGGGCTGGGAGCTCCTCGACGTCGACGCCGACCGGGTGGTCACCACGTCGGATGTGGTGTTCTACGAGGAGCTGTCGCTGGCCGAGTGGAAGACAGAGTACGGGTCGGTGTCCGGCCGCTCGTCGCCCACCCCGCCCTCTGACACCTCGTCGGCGACGCTGCCTCTGCTTGCCGAGGTCGGTGAGCTTGCTATTACGGACGTCGAGGACGTCCGTCCCCCTACCCCTCCCCCTCCGACCCCTGCCCCTCCCCTCGTGGCCGACCTGCGTGGGCTGACCTCGGTGTCGGCCTCCGGCGATGAGGGGAGTAGTGGGACGTCGCCTTCGACCAAGTGCATCGCCGGTGGCCGACGTGACGAGCGGCAGGTCGACGTGGGATTACAGTCGACGTCGACAGGGGAGGAGCAGGTCGAGAAGCAGGTCGAGGACCAGCGGCCGACAAAGGAGCAGGCAGCAGTGACGCCGACCAAGGAGCAGTTGGCGACCCCGCAGTCGGCAGGGGAGCCGACCATAGGGGAGAAGTCGGCTGGGACGCCGGCTGAGGAGCAGCAGGACGCCGAGGGCAGCGACAACAGCAACGATGGAGGGGACGCCGAGGAGGTCCAGCCAAGACCACGGCGTTCAGGCCGACTTCGGAGGCCGCCTGACTTCTTCGTCCCCGCTGCCTTCACCACGGTGTACGACGTGGACGATGAGGCCGACGACCTGCTGTACGACGATGCCGGGGAGGATGAGGAGTTTCCAGAGCTCGACCCCGACATGCTAGCCGACCCCGAGCACCGTTGGGACATCTCGACGATGACGGTGAAGGAGGCGTTGGCGAGCTGGAAGGGCCCGACGGTGAAGGCCGCCATGGAGGAGGAGATTCGCAGCCTCCTCAACATGGGAACGTGAGAGTTGGTCGAACGTCCGCCGGGAGTGAACGTCATGAAGAACCGGTGGGTGTTGACGACGAAGTACCACGTCGACGATACCGTCGAGCGCGAGAAGGCGAGGCTGGTTGTGAAGGGCTTCACGCAGATGTACGGCGCCGACTACGACGAGACGTTCACGCCGGTGGGCAGCTAGGTTGCGCTGAGGATCTTCCTCAGCATCGTCGCCGTCCGCAACCTCAACCTGATGCAGCTCGACATGAAGAACGCCTTCTTGCAAAGCAAGCTCGACAGGGTGCTCTACATGTCCCAGCCAGACTACTTCAACGACGGGACCGGCCGGGTGTGCAAGCTGCTGAAGAGCCTGTACGGGCTAAAGCAGTCGCCGCTGTTGTGGTACTTGGCGCTCAACGACGTGCTGGTCGGCGCCGGGTGGAAGAAGAGCCAGGTCAACGAGGCTCTCTACTTCAAGGTCGGAAAGGACGGAGTGGCGTGCTCAGTGCTGATCTACGTCGACGACCTAATTGTCGCCAGCAGTAGCGCCGCGATGTTGAAGGAGCTGAAGGAGTTGCTGGAAGCAGCCTTCGAGCTGCGTGAGATCTCGCCGTTGCAGAAGTACCTTGGGCTGGAGATCGTCCGCGACAGGTCGGCGGGGAAGCTATGGCTGCACCAGCAAAGCTACACTGACAAGCTGCGTAGGCGCTTCATCGACGAGGAGCAGACCGGGCGCACCCCGAAGATGCCGGTCTCGGTCGATGCCTACGCCGAGCTCACGTTCGATGACGAGGAGGCACAGGAGCGGCATGAAGAGGAGTACCGGCAGAAGGTCGGCTCGCTGCAGTTCGCGGCGACGACGACGAGGCCGGACATCGCCTTCGCCTGCAGCAAGCTGGGGAGCGGCCTCACGGTGAGGAGCGACCAGCACTGGCGCGAGGTCGACCGCTGCCTCGCCTACCTCGCCAATACGCGCGACACCGCACTGGAGTTCGGCGGTGGACCTGAGCCGCTGGAGCTGGTCGGCTACGTGGACGCCGACGACGCCGGTGACAAGCAGAACAGGACGAGCACGGGTGGCTATGTGTTCGTCTATGGAGGGGCCGCAGTCTCCTGGTCAAGCCAGCGCATCAAGTGTGCGACGTTGTCATCGACTGAGTCGGAGTACGTGGCAGCCACCGAAGCCGGCAAGGAAGGACGCCGACTTCGCTTCCTCCTTGTAGAGTTCCGGCAGCTGGATGCCGGGAAGCCGACCGTCCTTTCGATGGACAACAAGTCGGCTATCACAGTCGTCGAGGGCATGGGGTTGACAGGCAACCTCAAGCACATGGAGCGGCGACAGGTCTGGCTGCAGCACATGGTGAAGCGCGGGAAGTTCTCGCTGAGGTACATCCCGACCACTGAGCAGCCGGCCGACTTCCTGACGAAGGCGCTGCACTATCCGGCCTTCAACCGGTGCTCCGTCGCCATCGGCTAGGTGCGCTTGGCCGACGTGGGCAACGAAGATGACAACGTGCAGCAGTAGGTGCCATGCCCTCTTGCATGGCTGGTGCGGTGGACAACGTGCTGTGTGTTGGGTGCACGTTGACGAGCTATTCTCCGAGGAGTACTGCCGAGTGGACTTGGGGGGGCCAAGCGTGAACGCGGCAAGGGAGTGTCAACGAGAGTTGTGTGTTGGCCCCGTCCACGCTTGGGCGGAGCCGACTTCGTGGTGGGGTGTACGGAAGGTACAGCCGACTTGCAGCTGTGGGCGACGCCGACTTGGACGAGCTGGTCGACGGGGTTGGTCGACTTGGTGTGGTTGTCGACTTGGGAGGTCAACGAGCACATACAGGAGCAGCTGGTCGACATAGTTGCCCGGTCGACCAGGATACCTGGGTGACGAGGTTCTGCGAAGGAGTGCGACGGTCACCCAGGCGAAGTTGGCGAGACCGACCTCCATGGTGGGATCCCGAGGTCGTCGTGGCGGATCATAGGCACTCGCTAGCCCAAGGTTGACGTGGTGTGTGCGCTGTGCAGGTGACGAGACTTTGCATGCCAATCATCTGCGCGCACCTGCAAAGCGGGTGCACTGCTGTCCTGCGTGAGCAATGCTGGCACACCATCAACCTGCAGCGTTGGCAAGTTGTTGACTTTGCACTGCTGTAGCGTGGTCGACCAAGTCGTGCTGGAACGCGGTTGACCATGCTGTGCTGGTAGTTGACCAACCTGAATGCTAGCTCTGATGTAGTCTTGCATTGCCAAATTCATTGTACCAATTGTTTTGAACTTTTCCTAGTGAAACTCTTGCCAATTTTCCCCGTGAACTAGCAAGTAGTGTGTGCACAAGGAAAACGACTAAGGACTAACGAACGCAAAGATCACACGAGCACACGTGCCTAGCCCGTAGCCTAGCTCCCGTTGCTGCAGTTTTCTCCGCACTTATGAGGTGAGTTGGGTGTATGAGAGGAATGGGGGGCATAGAGGTATGGTGGGTATGAGAGGAGTGAAGGGTATGAGAGGAACCGGGTTTATCAGAGGAGTGGAGCTTTGAAAGGAGTGAAGGTTATGAAAAGAGGGGATGTGTGAGGAGTGGGGGATTCAAGAGGAGACTGGTATGAGAGGAGTGGGGGGTATAAGAAGAGTGAGGAGTAACAGAGGGGGTATGGTAGGAGTTTAGGGGCATGAGAGGAATATAGAGGCATGACAGAAGTGGGGTTTACGAAAGGAGGGAGTCTATGAGAGGAGTTGGGAGTATAATACCGTCATTGCCCGGTTAGTAGACAGTGTTGAATAGTAGACAGGGGTTGTCTATTATCCGGGTGTCTCTTTTAAACAAGCTCACCTCATTATAAGACACCTATTTGTGTGTACGCGTTAAGCCAGTGTAGAGGTTAGGGGCAATCATATAGCGAGGGCGTATCTTCTAAACAGTTCTTTCTCCATTTATAAGAGTTATAAGACACCCTAAATCGTCCCAAATACAAGACAACCCCACCATTTTTGCCCGTGTACGAGATAAGACATATATGTCTACTATCCTAGCGATGACGGTAGGAGTTGGGGTTGGGGAATGGTATGGGTAGGGGCTAAGAGTGGATAGGGGGTATGAGAAGTGGTGGGTATGAGAGGAGTGGTGGGTATGAGAGCAGTGGTGGGTATGAGAGGAGTGCTGGTGTGAGAGGAGAGGCGGCATGTGAGTGGGGAGATGGATAGGGGATATACAGAGGAATGTTTAGCTTTTCAAGCTTGATGTTTGAAGAGCGATATTCTGTGTAAAATCCCCAAAACAACCCTATACGTGAATCTAATTCACAATCCTGAAAATCATGCATGCAATAGCTAAAAGTTTCAGGAAGAAGGTGACAAGCATAAAATCTGGCCCATGGACAAGCCAGAGCTACAGTGTACTACACAGCCCAATTTTCCTGTCCCATTTTTTTGCTCATCAAAAGATGCTACCAGTATCCCTTCCACAGCCTCTGTCAGTGTTCCTAAGTGTCCCATACCATGTTTTCATATGAAGCAAACAATTGGCATCAGAAGCACAAGGCAAATTAGTAAGCTGCATGTGAAAACAAACTTGATTACGTGGAAGAGCCACTTGGCATGCCCCCCTCGCGCTCCGCACAGGCCATTTCAGCAGTGAAGCTGGAGGAGCCAATGGAGCTCCCAAGCTCCATGTCAATGCGAGATTTGGCCTCACCCACATGGCCCTCATGTGCTCCGGACGCCTCCTGCTTCAACTTCACCAGCTCCCAAAGCACTTGGTTCATGGAGGGGCGGGAGGCTCCATGCTTGGCGGTGCAGGAGAGGGCAAGGCGAGCCCAGCGCAGCACCAAGTCATCTGGTGCGTCCAAGTGAGGGTCCTTGAATGCCAATACAGCACCGGAGTCCACCACAGGGCCACCTGCGAGGTTAAATGCATAGATCACATGGAATTTGGTGATACCATATATTCACAGAGTTTCACATTAAAATAAAACCTGTGAAGAATGGTAGAAATGTGGCAACGCAGAGATTGATGGAATGATGTATGATCATAGGAAATTAGTGCTACATAGAAAGCAGGATGATAGGAAGGTGAATCCTATTACAGATACAAGGTGTGATTCAAAGGTAAGTGGTCGTCTTAATCATTGCAGCATGTATCCTGTTGGGAATGGAGGTAAGGAGAACATGAATCGGCCTACATATGTTTGGCTAAGGGCAACAAGGAAACATTGATACTATCAAGCAAACTCACTACGCAGTGCAGCTGGCTTTCTCATACGTTGTGTTACAAGATCTGCCATCCTTGGCATGATACACTTCTGTCTCTCACCCATTGTTTGAGATTGATCTGGTTTTTCTCTGTTACATGCACAGCCTTGCGCGCCGTGATAACCACGAGCGTCACCACGCCAAAACTGCAACTCGTCAATAAACAAAGGTATCATACTCGAAATCACGCTCAGATGTACAAAAGCTTTATGGTCACAATGAAATTTGTTTCCCAATCATTCCACAAATGATCGTCATGCAAGCCCCATCACCAAGCATCACCAAGCTACTCAATTGGTAAAAACGCCTGGAAATGGCTTCAATGTCAGGCATGGACCTTCTTTGAGTGTGAGACAAAGGAAACATAGAAATCACAGCAAGCCCGAAACCCAAACCCTATCTTCCCTAGAAGAAACGAAACTCATGAGCATTTCTCATCAAATTTGGAAGCCTCCTTGAACAGTATTCTCATGCCAAAGTGCTCATCTGCTAACCTTCACTGTTTTCTCATGCCATTATAACTTGCATGGATTTGCTAGCATAACCTACTCTGCTCACCTGTGCACATCTGCTGCTGGAGTGGCCTTATGAGACTTGAAATATGCAGGGTCCACATAGCCCGGTGTTCCCATCACTCGTGTGGTAGCCACAGACGTGCCCATAGCAGAGCCCCCACTAAGCTTCACAAGCCCAAAGTCTGCAATCTTGGCCTGCCCATGGACAACAAGAGCATTGATGTGAAAGATTCACAGCATGCGAGGCGATGCAAAACACCACAAAATATTTGCTAAGGGATGGATACGAGTAGGCATCTTTCACCATGTACAGCAAGGCCTACCACAATATTGACATGCCTGCATCTTTGCATCAAGGAGAATGTTGGCAGGTTTGATGTCGCGATGCACAATGCCAAAGTCATGAAGATACTGCAACCCCTTTGCCACTCCAATCAGAACGTCAAGCCTTTGACGAAGCGAAAGAGGATGGGAGACACCAGAACCAATCCAGCTCTCAAGGTCGTGGTTGGGCATGAACTCTTAAACGAGGATCTGCTCCATGAGTCGTGTGGAGAAGTCGATGTCGATGCAATAGCCCAATAGACGCACAAGATGCGGATGGTGCTTGCTTGCCATCTCCTTCACCTGAGAGGGAAAACAATAAACATATCAAAGGAGATTGAATAATCTGACCATCAGCTATGGTTGGGGTTGGCAGAAGAAACTAATGAGAAACGTGCCACTAACATATCAACAAAAACTCACACCATGGTACCTCTCTTTGGAAGTCGTTCGTGAGCACTCGAGCTCGCTTGACTGCCCAGGCTTGATTGCAATCGTGGGGCGACACACCCTTGTAAACATCCCCAAAGCTACCACTTCCTATTCTGTTCCCCTCTGCCCAATCTTCTGTGGCCTTAGACATCTCTGCCAAAGAGTACTCTCGACACACGTATGGCCGTGCTGCCTCCATCTCCACCACAAAGTCATCATCTTGCATCCCTTGTACTGCTGGTAATGGTAGCGCTGCTGCGGCAGCTGCTGCAGCTGCTGCGGCCTCCCCTTCCGCTGCTGCTGGGTCCTTATCCTCATTATTTGGTACTGCAAAGAGATGAAAAAGATGGTGAACGTGAGAGAGAAGACTGATAATTCAAGGGGCCTGGGAATTTAAACCACCTACTCTGGATTGCTAATGACCCAGGAAGGACCAGCAAGCACCATTGCTTCATTCGTTGATTCCTGACGAATCGAGGTTAAGGCTGGATGAATTTCTACAAGGTGAATTCAGTCACATCCATGGTGAACAGTTTCGCCAACTTTTTGTACTGCCATCTCAACACCATACCTGAGTGGCTGTGTGATACCATGGCAATGAACCCCAATCCAGATATCCAGCTTGAATTTTGATCGTTCAACTAGAACCAAACCTGCCCAGTTCGACCCAAACCCATTATTCCAAACTTGGGACTAGGGGATTCACATTCTGCAAAAAAAAAAAAAAAAACTAGCCAGTCTGGTTGTCTCATTTCCTCATTACTATTTCGCATAGAGCGGCAGGCAAAAGACAGTGCCATTACATGCAATTTTGTGGGGTTTTACGCCGCACCCCAAAAATAAGGTTCGGACTAGTGATTCTGAGTCTTTAACCCAAAACTCATGAGTCAGACCCAACCAAGAAGACGGCTTGACATCTGGGAGGACCCAGAATGGTCCATGGTGAGAAATTGCACATGCATTTGTTGCTTTTACTCTTGGATTTTTTTTTGATCTTCTGATTCTGATGATACTCTGATTTTCTTTTGATTGCCTGGCGTTTGCCTTGTTATTGCTTCATCTAGGCTCAGCATCTACGTAAATATCTTACCTTGAAACAAAATGTTATTTATTGATTTCTTGCCATCCACATTGGTGCTAGTATTGTCTCCTCCTGCTGCCCCTTTGGTGCGGTATCGCTTCCACAGAAGCCAGGCCAACAGCACCAGCAGCACGAGGACAGCCACAGTGCCAGCAGCAGCAATGCCAGCAATGCCTCTGCTGGATAAACCGCCTCCAGTTTGGGAGAGAGGGGCTGTGGGCTCACTGGGAGATGACGTTAGAGGAGGTGGAGAGGGGTTTGGCACTAGCGATGGGGGAGTGTTGGCACTGGCGACGGGGAGGGTGTTGGCACTGGCGATGGGGAGGGTGTTGGCACTGGCGACGGGGAGGGTGCTGGCACTGGCAACGGGGAGGGTGTTGGCACTGGTGACAGGGAGGGTGTTGGCACAGGCGACGGGGAGGGTGTTGGCACTGGCGACGGGGAGGGTGTTCGCACTGGCGAAGGGGAGGGTGTTGGCACTGGCGACGGGGAGGGTTTTGGCACTTACGATGGGGAGGGTACAGTTATGGGGTAGAAAGACAGGGAGAGGGAAGGGAAAAGGCAATCAAACATGAGGATGGCGGTTGGCTTGGTGAAAGTGGATGTGGCATTAGGCACAGTTTGCATGGGGGGAGGAAGCAAAGGAAGGCAATGAAGGATAGAAACACGTATTCTTCAGTAAAAGCCATGAGGATGCATACAACAGAAGCACATATTGAGGAGTAGCGAAGCTGTAATTGTTACCGCACCTGATAGTGGAAAAGCTAGCTAAGTAGGTGGCTATGCACTGTTCATTCTCTTAGCGCTAATGAGAGCAAGGCAACAATGGGCTGTGAAAGCAGCAGCCACCTGCATAAGGTTAGCCTTACCTGGTCGTGGCTTGTCACATGTGGTGCAGAAGGAGCCGCACTCGCTGCAGAAAGCACTTGAATTGGTCTGAAGGACCACGCAGCTGCTGTAGTCAGGTGGGCATGTGATTGCAGTCAAGGATATGTTCCTGCATGCGAAACGGGTTCTCGAACGGAGCATGTGACCGCAGCTGCATATGGAGCGTTTTCAAACTATGGATCGGGAATGGGTTTCAGCTCTAACTAAAGCGCTTTGAGGTTGGTATTTGAGATTTATGGTAACACGTTGAAATACTTTACCAGGCCAAATAGACATGAGCACAAGGGCGAACACTTGATTGTTTCTGGCCCAACATGTTCAAGGCGAACATGTTCGTGTTTGCTTTGTGTTTAGGGCGTTTAGGGAAGAAACCAGCTGGAAATATAAACTTGCTAAAACCGCCGCCCATATCATAAATAGTAGCCCATTCTACACATCCTGGGCTAGTGCACGGATGTTGAAAAGTTGAGCTTGAACATGCACATCCTGGGCTAGTGAACATGTTCGGGGCGAACTTGAAGGTGACGTGTTTGCCTTGCATCGAACACACATGTTCAGCGTACCGAACATGTTTGTGTTCGCCCGAACACTTCCAGGGAGGAAGGTGGAGGAAGGTGTTCGGGTGTTCCCCTTTGGGTGGTGAACACCTTGATGTTTGCCCAAAAACGAACATGTTTGGGGCGAACATGTTCGTGTTGGCCATATCAGCAGTCTTCAAGACACATGATCCTGGATGGTGGATTTTGGCATCCAGGTTGGTGTGGCTATACTTGGTGGACGTTTGGGAGTGAAGGAAATAAAACAAGTAGATTTTTGTTCCGCCACAACTATTTCATTAGAGTCTAGGTACCCTAGCTGCTGGAGCTTGCAGTCTAGGCTGTGGAAGGAGGGTTGGGAAAAAAGGCGAGCTAAAAAATGAGCTTGATTAGTGTGTTTCATCAACCCTTTTTAACGAGCAGATTTGCGTTCGTCGTAAAGGGATGTCGAAACGAACACGAACATATTCGGCCCGAACACGTTGAGCCACAAAAACGAAACATGTTCGAGGCGCACCGAGCAGGTGCTTGCCCTCGTGTTTGTGTCTAACATGTATCCTGTGTATGTCTAATTACATATACCCTGTGTACATAGAATTGGTGTAGACATTAAGGTTTGGTCATATTAGTTATAGGGTGTTCCTCGAGTAAATTTTATCAACAGCTAGGTACCCCAATTCAACACGTTGCTCGACCTTGAGTACGCGGTTCCAACCTGGACCCACGAAGTCCAACATTGGAAACGCGCTTTGGCAAACTTTGAGTGTTACCCACATCCCTATCTCGACTGTGGGTGAGTTGAGCATCCATTTGGCACCCCAAGTCCATTGGGGAACACTTTCTTCACTTGGACCAGCCCAAGTCGCCTCCAAGCTAGCCCTCTTCGAATTCTGTCAATTGGTTCATGTTTTGCTTGTATCGGCTTGCCTTGCTTCGGTTACGCGACATATTTCTCAAGCATTTCTACAATGCTAAAGTGCCTTACAGGTATGAAAGAAGTTTGAGGTTGCCTATTGTTGGAGGGAGTTGGCCTGTGAGGTTGTTCTGGCTGACGTCACTGCAATGGATGGAAACAACAGATAAAAGACAGAATAGAAACATTCAAAGCATTGCTAACAAGATACCTAACTGTGCATACATGCAAGAAATTTTACCTGTACAGGGATGGATACACAAAAGAATAAACAAAAGATTGGTTGATGTTAGGAGACAGTCAGAGGAGATGGAAAAGCCGTGGATTGTAGCAGGGGACGCATATCCTATTAGGCTATTCCAGGTCAACATGGTTAAGTTGCAATAGAGATTTTTGTTCACCCAACGTGACAAAGTCCAGTCAAGCATGAGATGCATAACCAGCTTTACGTGAGATATTTCCCAACCAGGCAAAACACATTTCAAAATCAACATAGGATGTTTGTTGGGCGGAAGAAGGTTAAAGCCAAAGAAGTCACAATTCGGCACTAGGTTTTATATATACCTCCAACCTATAGCCAGTGCAAGATCTGTGAATGAGCTCAAGTGACCCGACATTGTGTTACACACTGCATGCATTATGAGTTCCTTACGGTGTCCTGAGGCATGGCTGAAAACCATGCTCACGCAAACCTGGGAAAGAGTGATGTTGAAGTATCAAAGCAAGAGTGCATAAAGGCACGAACCACTTGTTAGGCTGCTCATGCTTGCATTGCAACCCCTCTCATTAGTCATAGCCAAGGGCAGGCTCCAGTTCACCCTTAAAACTGATAAACTAAGGGTGAATCCACGTTTTGAACAAGCCTAGGATCAAGCTAGTGAAACCCCGCGTTGGGAAGATTATGACAACTACAATAAGTCCTGCTGGGTTCTGGTCTTTAGTAAAATCCTGTTCCCGTCCGACTGAGACCCACAACACCTGACTCATGAGTCGCGTTGGACACATGTGGGTTACGGTTTGAATAAGTCGAAGCTTTTTACTCTTCAATGCAGATGCATTTTATGGAGTCTCCCTTTCTGGGATAGGTACAACGTGGGTCGGACATGCTCATGAGTCGAGTTCATTCAAGTCACTTTGAGTGGAAGTCGAGTAGGCATGAGCAGGGGGCGAACTCGAATATGTTCGTGTTCGCCCCCTGACGAACATGGCCTTCTGCCAAACCGAACACTGCTCGGTTCGGCGAACGACTTGAGTGAAAATAGGTGTTCGCCGTTCGCCCTAGGAGGCGAACAAATTGCTGCAACAGGCGAACACGAACATGTTCGTGGCGAATATGTTCGTGTTTGCCCAGGGGGAAATTCAATATAGAGTAAAATTCAAATCTTCGCTCATTCTCTCCCCCCACCTCCCAAGCCAGTCCCGCCCTGCTTCATCCATCTAGTGCCAGCGTGCAATGGCGAAATGCTAGATCCGCACTTAAGCGGCGGCGAAATGCTAGATCCGCACTTAAGCAACGACGAAATGCTAGATCTGCACTTGAGCAACGGCGAAATGCTTGATCCGCACTTAAGCAACGGCGCAATGCTAGATCCGCACTTAAGCAACGGTGAAATGCTCGATCCGCACTTAAGCAACGGCGAAATGCTCGATCCGCATTTAAACAACGGCGAAATTCTCGACCCGTACATAAGCAACGGCGAAATGCTTGATCTGCACATAAGCAATGGCGAAATGCTAGATCTGCACTTTACTAACTGCGAAAGGCCAGATCTGAGCCCAAACACCAAGGCCCGCGACCTAAAAATTGGTCGCGGGCCTATTCGTCAACGAACACTTTGGTGTTTGTCGAAGGCCCGTGTCAAACACGAACACGTTCGTGTTCGACGCGCCTCGGCGAGCTGAGCCGGGCGAACGGCGAACGTGTTCGGGCGAACACCGAACACGTTCGCCCCGAACAATTTTGGCAAAAAAAAATCCTGTTCGGTTCGCCTCGAACACGTTCAAGGCAAACCGAAAAAAAGTTCGTCATATTGCTCATCCCTAAAGTCGAGTTAAGAGTTGTGTCAAGTTGAGCAAAGACCAGACGTTTTCTTAACTGCCAGCTCTGGGCCTCTTATTTATGAGCATGTGAGCGGTCATGTTGGCTCTCTTTATGATCTCTTGATGTTACTCACACGTCTTTGAGGTTTGTCATGTTGCCGATGGTGGATGGAATGGACCTAGTCAGCGCATTGTGGTTAAGATACCTTATGGTAAAACTTGCGAAGTGTTTTGCGGGTGGTAAGATTACATAAATATGGCTTCAAATGTGTCAAAAAAACGATACGGCAAAACACTAGTTACCAAGCACATGGGAAGGTGCCATAAAATTCAAACAACAATAACAAATGAATCAACTGGTAGGAGAGGGAAGATTGATATTAAAAAGCAAGAAGGACTAAAGAACTCATGACATGCTGAAATATGATTGTGATGCAAGCTACCTACTCTAAACGGTGCCTGATAAACAGGTGCTAAACGTTACCATCGACTAGCACACTGTGCAAGAAATAGCCCTCAACAAGTAAAAGCGAATGAAACCAATGGGCAATTATTTGAGCCTCACACAAACATGCAAATGTGTAGACATTCAGAAGCAACACAAAGGGATACTCATTACAAAACGTTAGTAGTGGTGGAAATGCATGTCAGGACACGAGAACGAGTTGAAACTTGTGAGCGTGTACAGTGGTCATGCCTAGCATGTATGCTCGTTCTCAAATCAAGTTGACTTGGTGTTGCCATTGCAGGCCCTCTAATTTCTGAACCTGTGCGAGGTTATGTTGGCTCTCTTTCCTATTCCCTTCATGATACTCATAACCAAAAGAGGTTTCTCATGTTGCCGATGGCAGATGGAATAGACCCGCTCAGAGAATTGTGGTCAATAATCCTGATGATAGAACATACAAAAGGGTTTATGGGCGGAAAAAAACATTGAATACAGCAAGAAAATAGTCCTAGTGAAAAACAGCACACTATATAAACAGTGCTGCAAGAAACAGCCCTTGTACTAAGTGAAAACAATGGGCAATGATTTGAGCCTCACACAAACATGCAAATATGTGGACATTCAGAAGCAACACGAAGGGATAAACATTACAAAATGTTAGTGGTGGTGGAAATGCATAGCAGGACACGAGAATGAGTTGAAACTTGTGAGCGTGCACACTGCTTAGCAGAGCGTGGTGGCGTGCCAATCGTGCACACAGACACTTGTAAACACCCCATATCCAAGACCATGTTGGTGAAGAAGTGCACGGCAATGCTCTCGTGTACAAAGTGGTCGAAATGGTTCAATATGATTCTGATCACC